AATTTCGCCAGGCTGGGTCCACCGTGCCGGCGGCGGTGACGGCCAGGGCCACATCCCTTCTTCCGCCGGTCCTCGCTGTTTTTGCTTCTCTCGCTGCTGAGCGCTGCCGCCGAAGGCGGCTATTGCGGTCATTAGCGGCTACCGGCTTTGGCTCGCACTGCCCCGCAGGCTAACCCGCTACTGCTGCTGCCGCCGAAGCCGAAAAAGAGCAAGATGAAGATTGGCGCTCGTTGATAGCGGAGCGACTGATGAACGGCCACCTCCGGTGGGACGTCCCGTCGCCGATCCTGCTGTTTCCGCGTGCTACCGGTCGAGTGCGTTATAAAGTGCATGGGTGTGTTGTACGTGTAGTATCGTAAACCTCTTCCGGGTGATCGGGTTTTGGTTCTTGTCGCAACCAGCAGCTTCAATTGATACCCAGTTTGCCGATGTCTGTGTACCGAGAGAGGACGCGTCCCTATACATGCGATAAAGCCTGTTCCTCTTGAAAATGTTCGGTCAGAATATGCAAACAGGAAGTAAGTTGATGGAAAAGATAGAGGCTTGGAGTGAGTGATAGTCGTCGAACAAACAATGCCGCTCGAGCCAACTTTTCGGCGCTAAATTCTTCGTTCGTTGGGAGCTGATTTGGGCGTTCTGCTATAATAATGTCTAGAGAGAAACAACAGAAAGCAAGTTGACAGAAAGATTCTAACTTACTACATATCATTGAGTACCGTACTGTCGGGCTTGGTACATAGCTTTTTTTTTTTATCTGCGAGACGTATACGTTAGCTTCTATAATCATCTCGACTTGTTACCGTACTCACGGAGCGAGTCTGACAGCCAAAATGTTTTCGGAGCGTGGTAAACTTAACACGGTATGAAAATATCTTAACGGTACGGTATGGCCTCCGCTGCTAAAACGCTTGGTGCCAGTATACCTGCCCGTGCGCTGTCCCTTCCCGCTCTGTCGACTGTGGTGCCGCTTGTCGTCCAGCGCTTCCTCTGCGCATCCTGTCATTCTGCGGTCCCATCGCACGCGTGCCCACACGCGTTCAAAACTCAGCCGCCGCAGTGTTCCTCCAGAAGCGGCAACTGCGACGTGACTCTCTGCGGCTCTTCTTTTTCTTTCTGTCGGAAGGTCATCTGGCGACGGCCCTGGTATGCGTACTGCAGTCTGACGTAGCTACGCCCTATCAGTACTGGCCTTACTCTGTGTCTTGCTCTTATCCAGCGAGTGCTGCGGGTGAGCACTCACTGGTAGTTAGAGAGAGGAAACAAAACAAAAAACGAGAAAGCCGTCGGACCGTCGTGAAGAAGAAGATGAAGGCCCTGTACGTGCTTGCCACGGGGGTCACGGCATGCATAAACATGGTTTCTTTTTTGTCCTCCGCCGTCTGGAAGCCAACTCGACGAGCTCGCCTAGAGGCACTGTAACAGCTCCTGCCTCCGTGGCGTTCTCGCTTGTCCGGCTTGAACTTGTGGGCACAGAGGGAATCTGTTTCTTCTTCTTCATGGGCCAGGCAAAAGAGCACCGATGCCCTCTGTGTGTAGAGCATACTCACTGCATAATGAAGCGAGGTTAGAGTGGATCCGCTGGGTGACGCGCTGTGCCGCAGGGCGCCGTTCACGAAGGGCGTGTAAAGTCGTGTAGAGCAAAAGCAGAGGGGCTCGTTGCCACTGCTTGACCTGTCTTGGCGCGCGGCTACCGGGGAGCCACCGCGACAAACAAGTTACTGCTGCTGCTCTTGTTTCTGCAACGGCTGTATATTCCGATGTGTGATGGTCCCTTCCAACCTCCTCTCGCAAGATCGCACTCGCAGCGCCGTTTCAGTCTCTTGTGTCGCTGCGGGACACCTTTTTTCTTTTTTTTTTCTTATTTGCTTGCGGAATCGCTCCGGCCGTTACAAGGGCGACCACCCAGGCGCTCGTGCACGTTCGGTGCAGAACTCTGCAGGTGAACACGGCATGTACGGCCACGAGTCGGATCTTCAGAAGACGCTGCGCATACATAACAAAACTAGTGACTTCTCCATACAAAGCGGATAAATTTCACGATGAAATAGCGTGATTAATATTTCGCGGGGTTCTGCAGCGTGGTTCCGACACTGGCTTCACTGGTGAAGCCGACATATATTGAGAGCACAGTGTTTCGAGATGCTGGTTGTTCGATTGATGATATAAGTGAACGCGTTTTTCTCTCTTTCTCTTTCTTTCTTTCTTTCTTTTGTTGTGGATAATCACAATTCGTGCTTAGGGCAGCCCTTGCACCCCCTTGGGCAGCATTAAAAAGGCTATATGACGTTCATAAATATCGCTTTTTACAGCGAAAGCGGTTATGAGATTGCAACACGGGTCGCGTGCGCGCTGTAGTTGTCCGCCACCGCCGCTGGTGCCTGTAGCCGCTTTCCCACGAAGTAAAAAAAAATAGTAAATAAAAACACGAAGGACACTTTGGGATTCGAACCCAGGTCCCTGCGTACCAGCCCAGTATTAAACCACTGAGCCACGCCTCGGCTAGGAACTCCTTTGCAAACTGGCTTTAGGCAGGCTTGAAGTGGGGAAAGGAATCGCGTTACGATGAATAATTAATCGTTTTAGAACAGCAAAGAAACAACCAAGTGTCACAAAATGGGAATTGTGCAACGAGTAGGTCGTCAAATGCTCCAACTCTTTACAACAGCTTAATCTTGTTCACCTATTATCTGCTGTGCATACCCGCTTAGGAGGATTGGAGGAAGACAACAAAAAACTTCTGGCGTAATTTTTCATCGTGGTCAGCTACAGCACACACAAAACAAATTGCACAAAGTTCGTTCCTTGTGAGCAGCTGGTACCTGCTTCTCCGAAGAATGACGAAGGATGTCATAGCGAACGCCTGCCATCTGCACAATGATTAATGGCCTTGCGAGTGCCTCGCAAATGCGCTTGCAACAGGCACCTATGAAGTGTTAAAATAGGCCTTGAAAGGTCACTCTTCCAGCTTTCGCTGTGACAGAGCTGCGTGTTCCGCGCAAACCTGGAGGTTTTTTTTTTATTTCTATTGTTGCACTAATTTTTCGGGCTGTAGTGCGCTGAAGACGCAAACAGACACATGCGGAGAGCATCGTTCGCTCCGTGTGTGTTACGTTGTCGGTGTCGTTTGTGCGCCACAGTATAGGAGGTGTGGCAAACCATGAGGCCCGAGTGGATACGTCAGTCACTCCCGGTTGTTGAGAATCAGCGGAACCGTGGAATAACCTTAAAGAGAAATAGTATATGTAGTAGCCACCCTCGTTCGATCGATAAGTGTCCCGAGTGTGAGAGTTCCACGCAGAGTAAGTTGCAAGGACCGTATTGTGATTTGTGCGTTCCCTATTATTCCCACGGTGATTGAGTTATTGCATTAATTCCCCGCTGTCCATATTGGTACGAAGGTCTGAGCGCGCCGTTGCGCTGTTTGGTAGCGCGGACACGTTCGATGCTCCTGCAACTGCGTGTGAACGCTCCGCCCGGGTCCGGGCGGTAATTTCCTCGACTGCACAAAAGGACACAGCAGATTGGAATAGAAGGCCGATCTGGTGCAGACGCTTTGAGACTGCCGATAGAAGTGAGCGGCGTTTCAAGCCTTCGAACGGCGGCGTTCTTTCATGTGCGGCGCTTAATTTCTGCCTTCCACAGTCGTATCTGCACGGTGGACCTTGTGTCTATATAATCAGTGTACCGTTTATAAGGGAGCAAGGACACCTCGCTTGAGCGATGAATCGTGCCGTACTTGATGGATTGACGAACAATCTCGCGCCGCTTGTACGATCACGACGCAGCGCTTCGACAGACACGCAATTTGCCGCAGAATGAGGCTCGCGGTCTCCGTGCACTCCGTTTCATTTTGCTCGGACGTTCGTAACGGCTCGGTCGGTGCGTTGGCATTAGCCTCGCTTCCGTTGGTTCGCGTCGCTATAATAGCAGGAAGCTAAGAAAGAGCCCAGTGCTAACCATATCGTATAACATGAAGAGGAAGCGCGCTCTAATTGTCTTGCGACATATGCTACGTTCGCACTGAGCTCGGTTTTATGGGCGGCTGGTTAACTAAGCGTTCTATGCGACTTTGGCATAAAGAGAGCTTTGCAAGGTATACGTTGAAGATGGCTTGCTTGACTCATAATAGGCAACTGTTTGAGACATGCCAAATAAGTATGTTGAGATACACTACAGCTGTCTACAAGCTTAATTCCCTTAGCGTGTTCCGGATTGCGATGTGCGGGGTGACGTTTTTGTACGTGATGGTACGCTTGGTATAACCGTAATGCCTTATATGGCCACGTCGTCTTGTTCTGTCATTGTCCCTATTGCGAAAAGATGTCATGCCAGACGGCGAGTTATCGATGATAATGCCACTGATGAACATTTACACCATGCAGCCAAGGGAAGCGACGTTTTTCTCACTTAAGTGACATTTCTGCGTTTGTAAAGTTGACACGCGCACTACACATCATGGCAGCTTCCGTTTACAATAATAGTTATTATTATTATTATTATTATTATTATTATTATTATTATTATTATTATTATTATTATTATTATTATTATTATTATTATTATTATTATTATTTTCTGTCTTTAAAATACATAAACGGTGGAGCTGCCACAGAAATATACTGCAATGAGCAGCTTGACGAGGTGACAACCACTTTAGTATGGCATCATGTAGGCATTGCCCGGGACAAATAGATAATAACAAAAAGAAATAGATTGTACAGCAAGGTGCATAATACTTAATGACATTGTAAGGTTGTTGACCGTTGATATGACAAGATATAATGGGAAACTTTTGTGAAAAGTTTTAGCCAGCTACATAAGCACAGAAATGTCTCCTGCAGAAACTCGCAAAAGGATTAGGTTTGCGAGCAAACTAATGCCTTCAGTGTAAATCTGCCTTTTATTTCTTGAGGTGCATGTTTGGCCACCCGTGTGATATGCTTATTCGAGCGGTCAGATTGAGGACTGACTGGGAATCACGTTCACGGGTGCTTTTGCAGGTGACCTTCAGCTACTCCAAGTTTGGCAAGGAGCTGAATGTGCTCAACATCGACGGCTTCTCGCCAAGGGTGGACCCCACAAGGTGAGACGCAGATTTTCAGAAGTCGTTTCGGCATCTTTGCTCATTTCGGCGAGTCTTGGACGAAATATCCTTTCCTCTCAGTCGTTGGTATGGGCCCATCGTGCAAAGGGTGCGAGGAGTCGGCTGGGTTTGAAAGTCTTGACGTGCATCTTGTTCATTGCAGAAAACAAAAATGAAGTTGTTTTTTTGTTTCTGGAAGGCCCTTGAAAGCATAGGCATTGACAAAATTACGAGGTGGCTACGTAGGAAAGAGTCAGTCAGCTGTACTAACAATACCGTGAGGCGCTCGAGTTCGAGCTGCCGAGCAAGCATAGCGATCCAGCATCGATTGCGTAACAATGCAAACTTGTTCAATCTCTACACGTAAGCCTTTTTTTCCTTGGTGCGGGTCCACGCGTGCAGTGATATTCAGAACCGCAATATCTACAGCCAATAAAGTATATCGTATCAGGCTCATCAGAACTCAGTGAGGGGTTTATGATTGTCGTTTGGCGAACAGACATGGCCAGATAAGCTATGCACATTCATAATTGCTTTCTGCCACATACTTTATATGGCCCTCATTGGTTCATTAACTGCCCGTGACCATCAAACGCTGTATTTAAGTTTATGTCGTGCGTGTTTATTTACGTTTATGCCGTGCCCTCTTATCAGTACGTTTCCCTCAAGTCTCATCGATGCTAAGCAGTGCGGACATAATGAACGCCATGAATTATATAGCATGGCCTGTACCCGCCGAAAGAAAGTGCATATATGGACGGCTTAGTAGACGGCGCTGCTCATACCCCCTTGTCTTCTCCATACCCCCCGTGTCTTCAAGGTTCGTGCCATTCCAGCGCTCCATCTTTCATTGGCGCTCGCGCCGTACATAACTCTTCTCGTCTGCAACACTACTTGTGATTATGCTTCGATGCTACATTTGGAAGGTGCTGTCGGGGCTTCGGATACCGTGGTCGATCGTAACTCGCGGATCGAATTATCGCGCCGGACAGCCGGACCTCCCCGATCGAAGCACCCCGCTGCGCCTGATGAGACATTGGTAGCCCGGTGGAGTGATAAAAAAAAGAAAAAGAAAAGCCGATGGATATATGCTCCGCTGCGTGCAGGCGGGTGTATGAAGTGGACCTGCAGCGTTGCACGTCCGCCGAAGCCATTGTCTGTCTGTGATGATGACCGCTCGTCAATGCCGAGGCAGGCGATAAAACGTCCCCCGCTGGGCGGCGCAACGACCCGTGCGAATGTGTGACAGCCACGTCCGGGATAGTTCCGACCGGAGTGCAACACTCGGATGTTGCTGCATCGCCGCTCAGGTCGACCGTGGCTTCGCTGACGCGTCGCCTGTTGACAGCTTCATTCTTTCGCGTTTCTTGCCATTTATTTTGCTCCTTTATGTAATCAGAGCGTTTTCTTGGGATGCTTTTGAACCCGTCGTTTGGGAAAGACAACGTTTGTTTATATTCGCAGTTTAGATTGCTGTAATCACAACGAGCCCTGTAATCTAAGTGAAACGCTAATTTTAGGGGAGAGCTAGTTTCAGCGGCAACACTTGAGGAGTTTCAAGACCTGTCCGAAAATCTTCATAAATAAGGGAAATGCGATGTCTTGCCGCTGCCGTCATAATTACTTGTTCGGCGCCTGTAGACATCCTAATGGCTAGGGAAGTTAATTACAGCGGCAAATGAATACAGTAAATTAATTAACTTCTCTATATATGTGGGGGTACAGGCGGTAAGATCAAACAGAAAATTAAGATCATCCAGTCGAGAGCCCATTGCCGCTTTCATATTTCGGGAAAAGCGGCCGTTGGGTAAGTATCGCGCTGTAATTAAATCCAACAAAATTCAGCGGTAAAACCGATGCCAAAGCGCTGATAAGCGCAACTAGCAGGAGGCGAGAGTGACGTCACTGTTCGCGACAATTCTAGTGGCAATGTTCCTTCTGCATTGAATAACGTATTCGTGTCATGCGTGCTACATTGCTAGCAGAGCCCGCACACCGACTTCGATCGAAGGTTGGTTTTACGACGGTTTCTAATTTAGGCGCGTCGGCAGAGTATGATAGTGGCGCTTTCCGGTGCTTCAGTACCGCTGGCAAAATCGGTCAGAAATCTCCACTCTGCTGACATAATTGCCAGCGTCCGCGTTTTTTTTTTTTTTTGTAATATTAGTGCCAGTGGGCGCCAGTGGGCTCTTTCGTATTTTTGGGCTCTGGTTCTCCATCTCACTGTGCCGACAGTCTCCACTAATGAAAATCCCCGCCATGGTGGTCTAGTGGCTAAGGTACTCGGCTGCTGACCCACAGGTCGCGGGATCGAATCCCGGCTGCCGCGGTTGCATTTCCGATGGAGGCGGAAATTTTGTAGGTCCGTGTGCTCAGATTTGGGTGCACGTTAAAGAACCCCAGGTGGTCGAAATTTCCGGAGCCCTTCACTACGGCGTCTCTCATAATCATATGGTGGTTTTGGGATGTTAAACCCTGCATTTAAATCAATCATACTGTTTATTATAAAGGCCCACGCTCCCGAAATACAAAAATATGAGCGCAATATTCTTTCTTGACATTTCTCGTCTTTTTTGGCCCACTATACTGTGACGTAGACAGTAGTTCCCGTGACATCTACAGCGTACATGCTCTCGACTCGTTGATATACGCGAAATATCGCATGTGGTTTGTCTCCTGCACTGCTTTGCCAGGCGGCTGCCCATGCGTGCTTCTTTGTCTCGCATTAATATCGTGCACAATCAACTGATCAAATTTCATTTTTTTGTTTGCAACTGTGTAAGCGGCAATAACAGCGTGCAACCGAGAGCGCGAAATCCTCATAGACTTTGGCGCTTATATAGTGATGATATTGTTCACAAATATTAAAGGGCGAGAAGGATGCATAGTGTGTATGAAAGATGAGGAAAGATTCCCCCCTCGTCTTTAAACTCGGGGTGGTGAGTGGCCCTTTAAATAAGGGTCCACACCCAAAGGCCGTGTTGGAAGGTTCTCAAGATTTGCTATGTAGTACACTATCATGTTTTCAGAAGCTTCCAAGTAATATGATTAGTTTTTTTCTTTATGGTTTCTCTGACTGAATGGGGCAAAGATAGGCTTGTACACTCTGCACTCTTTGTTTGTCGTGCTTTCGTTGGCGCGCACGCTCCGCTGTCGCTATACGCATGGGCCTTTATATCGCGCTTTATAACGGCGCCACTAGACCTTTCCGCCACCCTGATGGTTTCCGCAGACCTCGTTTGCTTTACTTGTATCGCGCTACTTTTGTTAGCAAAGCACTGACGTCCACCGCGGCTTGTGTGTGCGCTCCTTCTACCTATTGAGCTGTACGTGTGCACGACTCGACCTTTTTAGATTTAAGTGTGGTGCTTTAGAGTAGTTAATGCTGCAACGTGCTTGATGTCTCAAGAGTGCAAAAAACAGGCTGCGCGGTTGAAGGTAAACAGAGGGAAGCGCTCAGATACGTCGGCCTCCTTGCGATCGAGCGTGTCGAGGCAGGCAGGCTGGTAGTAGATAAAAGCCAGAAGCTCCCGTTCGAATCCAAATATTACAGTACTGCCAGGTTCTTCGCAAAAGAAGCCATTGTTTGAAAGTGAATCTCGCCCTGTGGCATATTCTCTATTATGTAGCTCGGAGAAACAATGCGTCCGGCTGAGTTTGACCGTAGCAGCCGCAGCTACTTCGCTTTGTCTATAAAGAGGAAGAGGTGAGGAGGAGAGCTACCGCTTGCTCGCTTCGCGAGCTGGCCAATCGGCTGGAAACAAGTGTCCTCGTAGACGTGTGCGAGGGGGCGCCGTTCAGTTTCTGCAGGCCCCTGCAGTGGTGGTTTTGCGGCACGGCGTATTGACGCACTTCGGTTGAAGCGATGTCGACGATAACGAGTGCAAAGATCACACTCGAAGCGTGTGTGGTAGACGGCTTGCCTTCGCTGTGCTGACTTCACCGCGTGCGCGGTTACGCATTGATTGTCAGTTTGGAGGGCGTGCTAAGACAGAAAAGAGACGTCGCCATGTTTTGCCCAGCCTTGAGGGGATTCATTGTCGCCCTCTTGAGTTACGTAGAATAGGGCGCAACACTAGATCAACTCTCCAATGCGATCGTGCACTTTCGGCGCCGCTTACACTATAGCGTGGGACGACTTCCTTGCACGCAGGGTTCGCGGCAGCGCTGACACCAAATAGACGCACTTAGGCTAAAACACAATACTCGCCATGCAAGACGTTATTTATACGAATAAAAACGTAGCGATTGCACGTTGTTGGCACTGTTGACACTTTGAGAATTCGTGCGCAATTTTTTTTTACATCGAATACCCTGCTGCGTTTTGTCGATCGCATTAAGGGTGACGATCGTAAGGCAGAGCGACTGATAGCCTCAAGCTCTGTGATTGTTGGGGTTCGACGTCAAAACCACGATATAATGATGAGAGAGACGCTGTAGGGAGGGCTCTGAAAATTTCGACCACCTGGAGTTCTTTGTTGCGCCAGTAAATCTAAGCACACGGGTCTAAAACATTTTAGCCTCCATCGAAAGTGGGGCAGCTGTGGCCGGTATTCTATGCTGCCACCTGCTGGTCAGCAGTCGAACACACTTATTCACCAAACCACTGCGGCGGGTACCAGCAACAAGGTGAATAAGCTTTATATACCCGGTTTCTCTAAAATACGATTTCCTTTTACCACTGTAATGGTGTGGACATTTTGCAAGAAATAAACTAACAGTTTCCAAAAGCGATGGTATTGTCTTATTACCGCTGATTATATGGGCAACCTTCAGCGTGGAGCAACACCGCAAAATTGCATTACACTGTAACAAAAAACAAAAAAATTACTGTGCTACCTTTGCGTGAGTATTTGGTTTCTGCCTGAGCCCGGTATTCTGGGGCACGCCGCAGTATAAAGTTCAGGCAACTCGGGTGCATGCACGCGCAGGGACAGCGACCTTGGCGCCACCTGCTGTCATTACAGAGCGGCAGCCGCCTCACTTCACGGCCGGGCCCG